TATACTAGTAGTTAGTTGTATATATATAGTTATAGTACGTATAGTAGTAGTAGTACGTACGTACGTACGTCGTACGTCTAGTGTAGTATATATATATATATATATATATATATATATATATATATATATATATATACATCAATAGTGTGTTAGACAAAGCTAGACACAGTTAGTTACAGTTAGATAGTGACAGATCTAGATTGTGTGTTTAACCATTAGTAGTGTACCATGGCAATTTCTAAAGTGAAGTTATCACAGATTGTTTTATAATAACAGAGCAGAGAAGAAAAATTTATCTTGTCAATTGTGTTTTAAGGTAACTGAATCAGCCTGTGTGGACTTTGACAAAAAGGGACAATTATTTAAAACTCCGGATACAATTGTGGTAATTAACTGTGCAACAAACATTTGTATGTACGTTTGACTTGTTTTAATATATTATTTTGAAACATGTGGACTGTGTCATGTTTGTTTATTGTTGCAATTTATCATCAACAAGTCACAGACATCTACTGTAAATAATCTGGCCCATACATAAAACCTGAGAATGTATGTAGTGTCATTTTAAAGTCTTCCAGTGCGCTGACCAGTTCAGCTATTTATATATTGACAGAACTCAGCAGGGATCCTTGTAAAAACCAGAGGTAATATCAGATCACCATCTGCCAAATTCCAAGTGACAGTGCATGATGTATAGCAAAGCTAATACCCATTGCATGAGCATGTCTGATAATCCCAGAGCCTTTCACTTTGTTGCCAAAATGCCAATATGCACTTGATTGAATGTATCTTCAAGATCAAATAGCCCAATAGCACAGTGTTGTGATGCTTGCACACTCTGATGGATGTTGATTGTGTCTGATTCAACATTTGAGGTTGTGGATCTCTTTGATCTTTCCCCTTACAGCTTGGTAAGCAGACAATTTTCCTCCTCCAAGTCTTGCATGACTTTTTCTGCTACCTTTTCCATGAGCTCTACTCATACATTTGACATTGCTATTAATTCTATATTCTTGCAATGTATGAATATCTTCGAAGGGTTTGATATCCTGTGGCCCTACTACACATAAAATTGATACTCTTTTTGAAATTTTTGCCAGTTTCTACAACTAGTTTGGTATACAGGAAAATCCTGTTACAAATGAATGAAAAGTTGTTTACATTGTTTAAAAGCTAAGGATTTCCCATTTTCATTGATTTTTAACTAGGAGACATGTCTATTTTGATATACAGGCTCATTTGTCGAGACTTTCCATAGGAAATACAGACATGTAGGTTCATCCAATTAAATCATAGCTCAGTTTCTTCTGCCTGTAGAAGCTTGAGAAATATGTTATTTTCTTTGTATTTTGCACAAGTTATTGGCAGAAACTAATGTAAGTCATTAGAGCAGTAACATATATATATATATATATATAGAACATATATATCTACAGATGCTAGATGCAAAACAAAACCTTTGATATCTTTGATTAATTTTCATTTGTAAGTTAAATAGACACTTATAAGAAGTTTAAGCATCATTTTATACATTAATTTCTGGCTCCTAATTATTGAAATAGACAAGAAGTATATTTCTAAGTTAAATTTTCAATACTAATAGGGAAATTTGCACTCTGCAAGATTACTGCAGTTACAAAAGGGTTAAAATAATTCTTAATATGACTAAAAAGCATAAAAACAGAACAGATAAAATAGTTAGAAATATTAAATGAACAGCAAACCTTGTAGCTGAAGCAACATCCCAAAATGTAATATTATCAGTTCGACCAAATGTTATGACCCACGCATATGGAACTTCTTTACCCACAGTGCCAATACATACATATGCATTCAAACCAAATCCTAGAAGTAAAGAACACAAGAAAACTGCATGGTCTTCTGAACCCTTAAAAATAAAATGAAAGAAATATGTTTGGTATAGTATTGGACAAACATTGCAAGAAAAAAAAATTAAAAAAAGGAAGACAACTTTATAATTGGTAGACCAGGAGATGGACTCAGATAAAATAAATCTAATTATGAAAGAAATAGTTTTGCATCCTGCATTAAACTTTTAGTGGTAACAATGTTTACATATATCATAAAAATTGTTCTACTTTTACTACAGCATTCATTTTAAACTTTCTCATGACAATTTTATTTATTATGCTTACATAATGACCAATGTCACCTTAACAACATGGTAAGAAATACAACAAACAAAATTTCATGTTAAACCAAAGATGAAAAGAGATTCATGCTACTTGGAAACAATATCCATTCTATAAACTTAGTTATCACAGTTTAAAAGACAAAATTATGAAGAATTCTTAGTATAAAAGTCTTTGCTAAATCATTTTTTAACAACAAACCACTGGAAAAGTTGAAAAACTTGCAGGTCATTAACTTTAATTTTTTTTGGTAAACTTACCCCACCCTGAACAACAAGAAAGGCAAAAAGATTGTTCCATTGTTCTTGACTTGTTATTCCAACCTTCCCAACCACTGGACATTTTTGCTGATGGAATAAGGAAACAAACCAGAGGGCTTCTTGAGGTGATTCAATCAGTCTTCCAACCCTCAAAGGCTTTACATAACAAACAACAGGGAGTGCTACAGCATTTTCATCTTGGGTAAAGATTTTTACTAGCCTTAATGAGTGTTCAGGTCGTATTTCCAAATACTCCTGCCACCACAGCTTGGAGTATGTAAGAAACAATATTTGTTTTTCATCATATTGAGTTTTTTCTAAGCTTAACTGGGTGTTGAGAACACACTCAGTTATTAGTGATTTGGGAGTTGGATTGACACATAATTCCATATCCAAAATTCCAATAGGAACTTTGTTTTCAACCCCTGAATAATAAAAAAGTAAACAAAAAACAACAACCATTAGTGTACAGCTTTTATTAAATCTAATTAATTTTCAACACTAATAAAATAATTTCTATACACTGTTTACTTTTTGTGTTTCTTTGATTACTATTGACTCAATTTGAAAGGTCAAGATACAAAAGTTAAAGCAAGATAAATAACTAAATAAATCTTAAAATTAGCATTATATCTGTATGTTAATGTATTTTCTACTTTGTTTTTGTTTACATTTTGTTGTTATTTATCCTTCAAACTGATGAAATGATAATCATGTCTGATTTAAAGGCAAACACATTTATTTAAAACTAAAAAAGGGATGATAAATAATTAATCATCTCAATTTACTTGCTTTGATGGGCCAAGTGCTAACAATTAACCTAAGCATATCAATACAAAGCCCAACATTATAAATACAGCTCCTAAAGCTGCATGTTTAACATACTTATCTACAAAGTTATCTTTTAACAATAAATGACAATAATCACAAACTTTTATTTATCAAACAGTTACAGTAACTTCTGTCTCTAACAAGGATAATTCAGCAGCTCTATATACTGAGCAATCAGTAATATTTGAAAGAAGTTCTACCCAAATTCTAACTGCCCAATTATATTACCTTCACATTTTGCACAATAAATTGTTAATAAAATAGATAGCACAGACATTCCTTCTTCAAAACAATAATGCTGACATGTATAAAACTGAACAAGAATAGCATTTTCTTCTTTATACTAGATAAATTAGCTACATTTCTGACATAAATACCTAATTATAGACATAATTAATGGCTACTTTATGAACATCAACAAATCAGCCTATATGTATAATTTCAATTCATTAATAAGAAAAATAAAGAATTATGGTATCCTATAAAGTAATTGTGAATATTAGAAGAAAAAAAATCTTCTAACATCTAACCTAATTATAATCTATATTAATCTGAAGTCTAACTTGTTGGTGGTCTTTTATAATGAGTATAATAAACATTTTTTAAATTTTATAAAGACAAGTACAGATTGATATATACATAACCTAACTAGCTACAGTAATGTAGAAAGTTTTAAAGTTCAAAAATTACTGAAACAAGAAAGTCAATCTACAAAAACTGAGTTATTTAAAATTAAATTTTTTTATCCCTATGGCAAACCACTGTAATTATGTTAGTTTGAGCCAAATTAGGGGTAAAATTTGTTAATTTTAAGTAACTCAGTTTTTGTAGTTTTGACTTTCTTGTCTGAATACTTTTCGTAGCATTAAACTTTCTATATTACTATAGCTAGATAGATTACATTTTTATTGATCCTACTTGTCTTTATATGATTCAAAAATATTTTATTGTACTTGTTTGTTTTCTTCTTATTAGCTATATTTTTGTGTGTCAGAAATACCAAGTATACTCGATTTGTTATATTACTCATCAGAACCTCTACCAATCTACCCTCAAATCTAATTGCATGCCCAAAGTAGCAGGTCATCTGATTTATATACACCTGGAAAAAAGTTAAGCACCCCCAAATATTTTTCAGGATTGCTTATTGAAAATAAGGTTTAATTTTCATGATGTTGAGCAATGTTCATAATTTCAAACATAATTAAAAGGATGTGAGCGTCAGGTGTGACATTTAAATCAGACGCGTTTTTTTCCCCACGTGCAACTTGCTCCCTTCTTCACGTCCAATATGCACTATTTTCTCATGCATCAAATCCGTATTTAAGTCCCGAATTTCTGAATGCAAAATCATTTTAAGTAAGAATGGCAAGAAGACGGATATCAGAGGCGCAGAGATGGCAAATTATTGGCATGAATTCCGCTGGTATGTCCTACAAGGCGATAGGTAGACAGCTTGGCTATCATTACACAGTGATCAGCCGTTTGGTCAGAAAACATGTTGCCACTCAGAATGTTAAGGACGGTCCTCGATCTGGTCGACCATCTGTAACAACCCAACGTGAAGATAGGAAGGAGCCTTGGTAGATTGGTCAGACGAAATCC